GACTGACCAGGTACAACTACCCACTGACAGCAGGTATTTCTATTTCAAAGAAACAGAAATGCTCTTAAGAAAATAAGACCTCTTAAGAAATGCTTCTTAAGAAATACTGAAGTTACGACACAGTTATTGCTGAGATGTGGATAGAATGTACTTCTGAACAAGTACTTGAAATATAATGAAGATTCTAGAATCTTACAATACAGCATTTGAGAAGCCTCAAAAAATATTCTCATCTTACTCCAGTGATATCCTAGTGCAGCTTGCTGCCTCAGTTAGTAGTTTTGTACAAAATAAATGTGAAACATTTTCACAGTATATGTCCTTGTGCTATACATGTATATATGTATATTAGATACAACTTAGAAAATACAGTAATTACATTCTGAAAACGGAAAATTCTGTCCAGAGTACTTTTCATATGCAGGCTATCCCCTAAAAGGACCCATTTTCCTTTGTGTTGTCTTTACAACTGATCACTGCACAGAAAACATCCAGCCCGATTTTATTTGTTAAAGTTCAGGCTCCTGAACTAAAAAAGAAGCAGAGACTCGCTCAAATAAATTCAGAAAAATACTTCAGCGGAAGAATATTCATGCTCCTAATCATATGTTTTATTCCAATTTAATTAGCTCTGCCTCACTTCACCATCCTGGTTTTGGCTGGGATAGAGCTAACTTTTTTTCCCAGTAGCTGGTGTGGTGTTGTGTTTTGGATTTAGGATAAGAATACAACTGATCACACCTGAGTGTGTTGCTGTTGAACAGTGCTTATACAGAGCCAACAATGTTTCAGCTTCTCACATTGTCTGGCTAGCGAAGGGTTAGGGGTGTAAAAGGAGCTGGGAGGGAGCCAGAGACAGGGCCCTCTGCTTGGGGGCTGGTGGGCATCAGTCAGCAGGCAGCCATTAGCTGCATTATGCACCACTTGCTTTGTGCATTTTTTAATTCCCTGTAACCATTTTCTTTCCTATCAAGCTGTCTTTATCTCTAATAGTGAGTTTTACCTTTCCCCCTCCCTCATCCTCATTCTGGAGAGCAGCCAGTAAATGGCTGCATGGTGCTGAGCTGCCAGCAGGGTTAAGCCTCAATACTCAAATCATGTCAGGAGCATACATCAGCCCAGCACTGGAAAAGTACAGAATTCATTAAACATGAAACATGGCAACATGAGTGCACTAGCAAGGTGACAAAGTACACTGAAGGTATTTTGGATGCTAATGATGAAAACTGGTTGAAAAGAACTGCGAAAGGATCTGCCCTCAGAAAATCAGGAAACTGCTCAATAAGGCTGCAGGTAAAAATTATTTGGAGCTAAGTGTAATGCAGTATAAATGAGAAAGAAATCCTAACTTTACATACAAAACCATGGCCTAACTGAGCTATACTGTTTTGAATTTAAGCACAAGTGAAGTAAAACAAGGTAACTGTGGATGCAGCCCAGTGAAAACAGTACTGTCCATAAAAGCCACAGGCCTTTAGCCAGCTACTTCATGCTTACTCTCACAAGACCTCAGCTGGCCAATGTAGGTAACTCCTTGTTATGAGATTTTGCTGTGAGTATGTAGCAGCTGGTAAATGCTATCTCTTATTATTCTGTACAGCCCAAGTGTGGGAAACAGCAAAGGCCTTGAAGACATGCACTAGTAGAACAGTACATGTTCAATACAGAACAGTAACTGATGATAAATCAGTGGTCTCATTCTGAGGAAGAGCTATCTCACGAACTACAAAAATACTACTCTTGCCTGAAGAAAAACAGCAGAAACTAAACCAAAAGAAAAAAAGCACAGCAACAAATAAGGCAGATGTGGCTCTGGGAAGCTATCCTCTGCATCCTGAAGCATGAGTAATTAGAAACTCAGTGGAAAGTCACTCATCTTCTACGAGAAGCTGAGCCTGGGGAAGGTGGGAGGTCACCCATTGCTGCACACCATGGAGCATCAGTATGAGCACAGCGCATCTGGAAGGAGAGGTAAGGACTGACAGGGAGTTATGATAGGATGGTGCAGCTCACAGCCCTTCAGAAAATGGTATTTCAGTGGATTTAACCTGGGTAATTTTTCATGAAAGGAAAGTTAACAATATGTAAGATAGATAGTTCATGAAATATTTAATTATAATTATAATTAAAATCTGTGCTGTTCAGCTATAAAAGATATGCAGGACTATGGGCAAAGGATCAACTAAAATTTACATCTGTAACTTAAAACGTCTGTATTGCAACCAAGTCAGCAAGGCAAGGCGCAGCCTGCACTGAGGCCGTGGAGGCCCGCGCCCACAGGGGCGTACGGAGCCGCGCCGGCACCGCTCGCCGCAGCTGGGGAAGGTCCGTGTGCAGGCGTTATGTGCGCAGAACTTACTCTTTTTCTTTCTGGAGATATAATACGAGAGGGTAAATACGGCCGAGAAGAAAACGTGTTCCGGAAGTCGAGAGCTCGCAGAATTTGCTCCTAGTTAAACAAGGAAACAAAAATAAAACCGTAGCATCACACGCTTTCCGAGGCAGCCAAAGCCGTTCAGCGGGGCGCAGGCGCTGCTGTTCCGGAGCAGAGTTGGAAGCGGCGCTCGCAGGGCCGGCAGGGTTCGCACCGCAGGAACGTGGGCTCCTCGGCAGGCACTCGCTGCCTCGTAGCCGGCGGACTTCTTTTTTTACCCGCCCAGCCCTCCCCGGGGTCCGCAGGCCCCCGGCCGCCACGTACCCTGTAGGCGCTGAGGACGAAGGCGACCCGCTGGCGGGTGCTCTCCGCCGGCTGCAGGGGGTGGGCGGCGGCAGGGAGCGCCTCTTCGTACAGGTACTCGGAGCCGCAGGGGGACAGCAGCAGGCGGGCCCCGTCCGCGTAGTGCACCTCCACGGAGTCGTCCTCGTACAGCACCATCAGCCGTTCCGCGGCCATGGCCCAGGAGGCGGGCGGCGAGGCGGGCTGCCGAGCAGGGCCCTGCCTGCCCCCCCCCGGCGCGCCCTGCGGCATGGCGGGCTGCTGCCACGGCGGCTCCGGTGTGCGGAGTGAAAAGGTCCTTGTGACTTTTGTTTGTATTTTCTCACGATTTGATGGTGCGCCGCGTCTGCTGCAGTCTCCCTGCTCGTGTCTGCACTCAGGCTGCGCAGGACAGGACATCACTAAGTAATGATTCCTTCATACTTGAGTGAGAAGTGCTCAGGAGTGGCGTGAATGAAAACAGCTCCTGAAAAGGAAATTACTGCCATGTAAAGCAGTGGCTTCTGGTTAAAATACAGAAATAAAAACGGATGCCCAGCCTACGTGGGAGTACGGGAGAGTCATGGGCCTGTTGGAGCGCACACAGAGGGGGGTCACAAAAATATCCCAGGGATGGAACAGCTCCCCGGTAAGGATGGGCTGAGAGCTGGAGCTGTTCAGACTGGAGAAAAGGCTGTGAGATGACCTGAGAGCGGCCTTTCAGTATCTAAGGAGGAGCTATGGGAAAGAAGGGGGCAGACTGTTGGTCTGTTATTAACTGGAGATGTCCTGGCGGACTGGTGACTGGCAAATGCGACGTCCATCTCCACAAAGGGCCATAAAGGCAATCCTGGTAGCTGCAGACCTATCAGTTTCATGTTGGTGGCCGGGAAGGTTATGGAATGGATGGCTCTTGGGAGCCATCGTGGACCAATTAAAGGTCAACCAGGGGATCAGACCCAGTCAGCATGGGTTTACAAATGGTAGATCTTGTCTGACAAACCTGATTGCATTTTATGTACTTAGTGGATGAAGGTAAGGCTGTCAGTGTGGTCTACCTGGACTTCAGTAAAGCCTTTGACACTGTCCCCCACAGCATTCTCGTGGAGAAGCTGGTTGCCCATAATTTGGATGGGCGTACCCTCTGCTGGGTGAAACACTGGCTGGATGGCCAGGCCCAAAGAGCTCAATGGAGTTAAATCCAGCTAGCAGCGGTTATGAGCAGCATCCCCCAGGTGCTCGGTACTGGGGCCACTTCTATTTAACATCTTTGTTAATGATCTTGATGAGGGGATTGAGTGCACCCTCAGTAAATTTGCAGACAGCACCAAGTTGGGAGGCAGTGTTGGTCTGCTGAGGGTGGAAAGGCACTACAGAGGGACTTGGATAGACTGGATCAATGGGCCAAGGTTAACTGTATGTATTTCAGTAGGGCCAAGTTTTGGTCCTGCAATTTGGTCACAACAACCCCAGGCTTGGGGAGGAGTGGCTGGAAAGGTGCCTGATGGAAAAGGACCTTGGTGTACTGATGGACAGTCGGCTGAATATGAGCCAGCAGTGTGCCCACGTGGCCAAGAAGGCCCATGGCATCCTGGCTTGTATCAGGAGTGGTGTGGTGAGCAGGACTAGGGAAGTCATCCTGCTTCTGTACTCAGCAGTACTTCAGGTGAGGCCTCACCTCGAGTACTGTGTTCAGTTTGGGGCAGCTCAGTACAGAAGGAACACTGAAGTGCTGGAGCAGGTCCAAAGAAGAGCAACAAGGCTTGTGAAGGGCTTGGAGAATATGGCCTACAAGGAGAGACTGAAGGAACTGGGGCTGTTCAGTCTGGGGATAAGGAGGCTGAGGGGAGACCTTATTGCTCTCTTCTAATACCTGAAAGGAGCTTACAGCAAGAGTGAGGTTAGTCTCTTCTCACTGGTGACAGGTGACAGGATGAGGGGAAATGGCCTCAAGTTGCACCAGGGTAAGTTTAGGTTGGATATCAGGAAACACTTCTTTACAGAAAGGGTTGTTAAGCACTGGAATGGGCTCCGAGGGAGGTGGTTGAATCACCATCCCTGGATGTGTTTAAAAACCATTTGGATGTGGTCCTCAAGACATGATTTAGCAGAGGGTTGTTAGTTAGGGTAATATGGTGAGGTCATGGCTGGAATCAATCTTTAAAGTCTTTTCCAACATGAGTGATTCTATGATTCTATGACAGGACAAGGGGAAATAGTTTCAAACTAAAAGTGGGAAGATAGTTGATTTAAAGCAAACAAGTGTAAAATTTGATAGAACTGGATTATAGTTCAGAAATGCATATTCTAGTTTTGGTTAGTCTTTATTCAGGTTTTATCTGTTAAAAATACAAGTAATGGTACATCTCTTATATTTTAAAATATTGGAGAATTTATGCTGGCGTAGTTTTTTGCTGGCAACTACAGTGCTAGGGTCACAACTCAAAACTTGGTAACTGTGGAAGTGCGTCAAGCAGACTGAAGTAGGTAGACATGGCATCAGCAATTCAGGAAGTACAAATATGCAGTATCATTCTTGATTTTTGGCTGGAACATCATTTTTGAAAATCTGTATCAACTGGAAGGATCTATGGCTGAGATGATTTGAACTATAATTGTGTCAAAGAGAAGCAAAGTTGCAAATTTGAGTTATTACTAATTCAGTGAGTGAGTTCTGTGTAGGAAGGAGAGAAAGGCAGAACATGATGATATGGAAATACCAGTCCCAAGAGAAATAAAAATAACTAACAATGCAGAACAAGTGACAGTGAAGCTCAGTGCCACAATGGATGTCACTTGAAAATAATCCTAACTGTGCATAATCATAGGCACCTGTCCTACTTGATCCAGACTTCTTTCTGTAGCACTACAATTACTCTTAAAAGCAAAATTCAAAAGCTTAGTGATATTTTCCTAATTAAAGTAGACCAATAGCAAAAGTTCTTAGCAGAAAGAAATTGCTGAGAAAGTTTCTGAATATGAAACTTATTCACAGCAGATGGCATGCAAAGCAACGTGTCCTGCAGCCCTGCGTTAAATGACTTTAAGCAATGTGAGATCTAGTACTAAACGCTTTCTCTCAATCACAAAAATCACTCTTTGCCAAGAGTTGTGCATATATTGTGCATACTTTTTGTGGCGTGAAGTTAATCAGTTGGTCACAAGAACAATTCAGATTCCATGAACATTTCTTGTTGGAACTGTACGTAAAAAGTTGGCTTTGCTTCTCTCTTCAAGTTTCCATGCTACCATTAACTTCGTTGGCTTAGCACTGTGCCACAAAGAAAGCATCTCTTTAAAGAATTGTTCACCTGCAAGTTGATGTTTAGAAGCTTATAGATAAAAAGCACTTTTACACAGTACACTACTAATTTGTAAATGTTGAAGCATAGGTGAAATCATCCTTAAACATCTGGAGGCTCACCTCTATGATACATAGAAGAGCTGCTGGCTGTTAAAAACTGGTCAGATAAGCAGCAAATGGTGACTGTTGCAAAGCAAAGCCCATTTCCTTCTTCTGCACCCTTACATCTCATTCCATTGTCAGTAATTTGTATTAGACTCCTGTGAGATTTAAGATAAGCACGAAAGACTGTTGTATTCTCATGGTAAACACAATATTGTCTTCCTTACTGAGTAAAGGAGACTTAAAGCCAGTTTTTCCTTACTGTAGTAAAGCTGTTCTAAAGCTCTCACAAACCTTGTGTACGTAGAATCTCCACTACCTTGAATGAAAGTCCCAATATTCAGCTCTCATTATTTTTCCTGGAAAAACAGAAAAAGCCTATTTTGTAAGTATTGATCTGGATTGCCTAAAATATACAGTTCCTAATTCACATTTTTATACAAGATGACTTAGGGTATTTTCTTAATTACATGTGAGACACGTACATCAGCTTGTACAGATAGTGTATGTATCCTGGTTTTCATAAAAACATGCTGCTCAAGAGGTGCACATTTGAACATGTAAGGCAGAGTCCCCTGAAGAAGCTCTTAATTTACTGTAATGAATTTTGCAAATCCCTCTTCCTTTGTCATGCTACTGAGAATTTCCATTTTCAGAAATATGTTTTACACAAGAAATCTGCTTGTAAAGTCGTAAGAAGACTGACCTACATGTGAATTGAAATTTTTAAAGAAAATTACGCACAATCTAATGTCAGAGAATGCACGTGTTAAGTATCTTCATCTGAAAATAATTTAATTTACACGTTTCTGCTTCTTGGGTTTTCATCTAAAGACTCTGAAATGTTAATACAGATCTGCTGACCGCTACTATCCTTCTATAAATTTTGCATCCTCTCTGCAGCAGCTACTTTAAAGAAAAAGAGGACTTTTGCAGGTAGGAGAAATACAGAGGAATCAAAAATTTTTTTTCTTTTTTTAAGCAAAAAGGCAAAACAGTGAAAATATAACAAAGGAAACAAAGCTAGTTAAATTTTATTTTCCAAAACTCCAACCTAAATGAATGTTCAATAAACACCCAGAAAACAGTGCTCACTGTATTAGCAGACGCACAAGTCATTTAACCAAACGTATTACAGTGAAATATTAACAGAATTATTTACATGCATATTTACAACAACAAGTTCTTTACAGTAGCTACTGTTTAGGATTTTTTTTTTTTTTTTTTTTTTTGTGTGTGTGTATTTGTGTAGTAAGGGATTCTACTTAGTCTAACCAGAAACAGATAACAAGAAACAGTACAACTGAGTTTGGCAACAAGAGCAACAATGGAATTTATAGACTAACATGATTATATTGAGTCAAAAAAGAGCAGTCAGTTTCAGAACGTTAACATTTATGAAATACATGAACATACTCAAACTACAAAATTAAGACAACTTATATAAAATAATTAGAAGGATGGAGAAAATTACAAGTGTTGCCAGAAGGTTAGACATGTTAGATACATTCAAAAATATATCGAGCACTGCACATACTCTTGAGGAGCACTGGTTCAACCATAACTATTCATGTAGTCTTGAAGAACACGGCAAATTTAAAGAATATTTAAAGGATAGTTTTTGCTCGTAAAAGTTAGAAATAAGCTTATCTGAACCACAGATCTTGAAAGCACCTGACTTATAAAATACAGCTTAGTTTTTCACAATATCCCCATATTTCATGTTAATGTGTCCAGACTTCACACAAAAGGGTAGAGGAAAGAGGGAAGAAACAAAGCAAAAAAAAAAAAAAAAAAAAAAAAAAAAGAAGTGTGTATATATATATATGATTATATATAGATATCCCCACAAAACAACCCACAAGACACAAAATCTTCACAAACTACTTCTCATGATTCCATGATTGAAATCTACAGAGATAATCTGTATTTGGATCATACTCTCCTTAGCAATAAAAAAAGCAACAAAACAAACAAAAACAACAAAAAAAGGATAGCTTGCATGTGATAAAAGAGATGGGAGAGTTCTACTGCATATTAGAAGCAAGCAATTAAAAGATCAAATTGTTCTTTCCTTTCTCCCACAAGAGAAATTTCATGGGACAGTTCCGCTTTAGTTAAAATTTAATTTCCATTACGATATTTTTAAGTTGAATTTTTATTGCAGCCAAAACATTGTCCGTATACCTGTACATAAAATAAACTATGATATATACACAACATTTTAAGATACAGGGCATGTGATTACAATTTTTGGCAGATTCTGTTTAACAAAAGGGAAACTGTATCTTCAATTGTTGGAGAAACTTAACTTCCTTATTTTGGTACAAATGTTTCAATTTATGCATCCCCTTACACTCTAACCATACCTAAACTGCTTTAGCAAACATATTTAATATTTATGTGTAACTTCTCACTGTTTTCTCCCATGTTCAGATTCTAGACAGAATTTTTCATACGCTTCTTCAATTTCTGGATCCATCTCATCATCAATGTCATCAAAGTATCTATAAAAAAACACAACACCAAAAGTAAACTTAAGTAAACAGTTTCAGCAACAGTATGTTGGTGAAATATTCATATAGACGTCAAGAACAAAACAGACCTTTACAGTAGTTGTTAACTGTAACATTAATTAAAAGGGGATGAAGAGGAAAAAAAAGCAATGGCATGGAGAGTAAAAACCTCTAAGTAGCACAGGTACAAATCATTACAGTGTTTGACACCATTTTAGATCATATCATGTTCCTACTAGGTTAAAGAAGTATCTTGGATGACAGACAAAGTGGATAATACAATGTAAAACAACTTTCTTCCAAAATTTCACAATGAATTTGTGCTAATCTTTTTGAAAAAAGGTTAATTAGCATCACCTTCAGTTAGTCAACGTCCTAGTTCAAACACTGCATCAATTATCATGTTTGCACATGAGCTGGAAGAAGTTATTATATGGAAAACCTATACTCCAAATTGCTAATACACATAAGAAGGCATTCATCAATTCATCAATTCATCTCTTTTGTATTTGTATTATAGTACCTTTTATTAAATCATATCCTGCCCGTTTTTTTTTCTTCTTCAGGAAAGACCTGTTATACTTAGGTCAGAGAAAGTCTGGATTCCGTTAATAGTAATAAGTATTGCAGAGAGTGAAGACTACCACAGAGTTTCGAAACAGCACTGAAAACAGATGGGGTTCACTTAACAGCTTTCTACTCCCCACAGCTAGCAGAAAGACCATGGAACACAGTCTCCTGGAAGATACGTGAAGGTACATGTGAGCTGAGGAGGTGACCTGAGACAGCCAGCACAGCTTCATCAAGGGCAGATCATGCCTGATCAATGTGGTGGCCTTCTATAATCACAGCATCAGCTGACAAAGCAAGGGCAACTGACACTGCCTCCCTAGACTTCTGTAAGGCATTTGACATGGTCCTACAAGATACCCTTATCTCTAAATTGGGAAGAGATGGATTTGAATGGTAGGTTATCCAGTGGAAAATGAACTGATGGGACGGTCATAGCCAGAAGGCTGTGCTCAATGGCTCTCCAGGTGGAGGCCAGAAATGAGTGGTCTCCCTCAGTTAACTCCTTGGGAGTGGTGCTCTTCAGCATCTTGATCAGTTACACACACAGTGGGTTTCTGTGCGAGTCTGCAGATGAATCACAGAAACACCAAGGTTGGAAAAGACCTACGAGATCATGCAGTCCAACCATCCACCTATCACCAGTAGTACTCACTAAACCATATCCCTGAACACAACATCCAAATGTTCCTTAAGGAATAGCTGTCATTCAAAAGGACCTTGACAAGCTTGAGAAGTAGAGTTTGATGCAGCTGAGTGCCAAGCGTTGCACTTGGGTCAGGGCAATCCCAGACATGTACAGCCTGGAAGAAGAACTAACTGATAGTAGCCCTGCAGAGACAGGCTTGGGGGTTCTAGAGGACAGAAAAAGGGATACAAACCAGCATTGCATGCTTGCAGCTGGAAAGCCAGCTGTATCCTGAGCTGCATTGAGGAGCTTGAGTGAGCCCTCAAGTAATTTGCAGATAACACCAAGTTGTAAGGAAGTATTAATGTGCCTGCACTTACAAAGACCTACAGAGGGATCTTGAAAGGCTGGACTGATGAGCTGAGGCCAACTGTGTGAGGTTCAACAAGATCAATTTCCAGGTCCTACTCTTTGGTCACAACAATACCATGCATGACAACAGGCTCAGAGCAGAGTGGCTGGAAGACTGCAGAGGAAAAGGTCCTGGGAGTATTAATCAGCAGACAGCAGAACATGAGCCGGCAGTGTGCCCAGGTGGCCAATGGCATCCTCTCTGCAATACTGATTATTATGAATGGAAATACAGTAGTCAGGAGTAAGGAGGTGATCATTTCTCTGTACTTGGCAATAGTGAGGCTACACCTTGAGTACTGCATTCAGTTTTGGGCTCCTAACTACAAGAAAGATATTAGGGCCTGGGAAAGAATTCTTCTGAGTGCTCAGGCAGTGGAACTGGCTTCCCAGGAAGTCTTCCCAACCTTCTGCTGTCCCTGGAGGTTTTCAAAAGCAGGGTAGCTGTTGCTACTGGGGGACATGTTTTAACAGGCATGATGGTGAGGGAATGATTATTGGACTAGATGATCTTAGTGGTCTTTTCCAACCTAGTGGTTCTATGAAAGAGATTCTGTGAAAAGAGAGGTCAGCAGAGGGAGGTGATTATCCCCTTCCAGTCTGCCCTTGTGAGGCCCCACCCACAGTACTATGTTCAGGCCTGGGGCCCTCAGAACAAGAAGTATGTGGAGCTGTTGGAGCACATCCAGAGGAGGCCATAAGGATGATCAGATGGCTGGAGTACCTGTCCTATAAAAAAAGTTAAGGCAGGTGGACTTGTTCAGCTTGAAGGATAGGCAGCTTCAGGGAGACCATATTGCTCAAAAGGGAGCATATAAACAGGAGGAAGACCAACTTTTTACAAGCTTTGATGGTGGCAGAACAAGAGGAGATGGTTTTAAACTAAAATGATAGAGATTTACATTAGACAGTATAAGAAAATCCTTTACTTGGAGGGTGGTGAGGCCCTGGAACAGGCTGCCAGAGAAGTTTTGAATGCTCCATCCCTGGAGGAGTTAACGGCCAGGTTGGTTGGGACCCTGGGCAGCTGGAGGTACTGGATGGCAACCCTGCCTAAGGCAGAGGAATTGGAACTAGTTTAAGGTCCCTTCCGACCCAAGTCATTCTGTGTATGATAGAATGGGAATGTAATTCTTAAAAAGTCAGCAGCTAATGACTCTCAGTAAGTGTGCAATTGTTTGAAGTTATTATCTTCTGTGCATGAGTTCCAACGAAGGCAATCACATATCCTCCTAGAATCATAGAATGGCCTGAGTTGAAAAGGAATCACAAAGACCATCTAGTTTCAACCCCCTGCTGTTTGGTTGGCGAAACCACCAGACCAGGCTGCCCAGAGCCACATCCAGCCTGGCCTCTTATCTGTACTAGGGCCAGAAATGTTAGGTTTCACACAAAATCATGGTAACTGTCAGGGAAATATATAAAAAAAATAATTTCTTGAGCACTGCCTTAAATAATCAGTCCTGTTTCTCGTGTAGTGTAGATGCACAGAGACCCCATTTACTGCATGAAAGCTGCAAGAAATAGCTGACAGAAGATCAATACTATACAATTGCATAAGCTTTTCTTAAGCTTTCAGCAAAGAATGTTCTGAAGTCAGTTCTCATAAAGGCTGAGACAGTCTTCCACATTCAGATACACTTTTTTTTGTTTTAAAGTGCTATCTGTCTTCATTTTGCATTTAATTTGATCTTACAAGCACAATCTGTTCAAATAGATATTTTTACTTCAATATTAGCCTGTTGTTTTCTGATGGCATCTCTAATTTATGTTCACCCATAATTTCTGCAAGTACCTTTAGCTAGCTTCCATCCAAGTCTTTTAATTTACTAAGAAAAATATTGATCTAGGCCAGAGCTCTTATCAAACATGAAGCCAGCACTGACAATACTTTCTAGATTCAAATTTCTTTCAACAATATGATCACAAAGCTCAACCTTTAGACCCTGTTCTCTAAACTCTATTTTAGACCCTGTTCTTTCTAGTGGCTTCCAATTAGGTTCTTATAAACCAATATCGGAAAATCAGACTATATTCTCATCTACTGCTTCCTCCTTTGCTATGAGGTTGCTTTTTGTGTTTTACAAAAATACTTAACAGCCATGGGGGAATACAATTTATGCTTAAGAGAATATACAATATTTATGCTTAAGAGAATATACAATACTGGGGAATACAATTTATGCTTAAGAGAAAAACCTAGCAACCTACCCTGTGAAAGGCTGACTATTGTCATAATCTCTGGCTATGACATACACACAACTCAGTATATGCCAACTCAGGCTGCCTCACAATGCTTGAAGCTCAGGTGCTTCACTTTTTTTAATGCTGAAAAAAACACAAACTTTGCACCTGTTCAGAAATAACTGAAACTTCATTACAATATTCAGAAGGATAAATACTTGTTTTGAACTTGTGTGATTATAATCCAACATATACCATAACAAATATTTAACTTCTACTGTAGGTTTGAGCAATAGTTATTATTTAATTTTTGTCAAGATGGCATTCTTAAGTTTGCAGTAAGAACAACTACTATCTAGAAAGTTATCTTTAAGGAAGTTATTCTAGAAGTATACATACAGATCTCCAGCTCCAGATAAATCTGTTCCATTCTCTTCATAATCTGGGAACCAGTCCTCTCTTTCAAGCAGCTCTTGGTATTCTTCTTGGTAATCTGACATAGTAAAAAACCAGACGGAGATGTATACAGTGAGATTAGTCCCCTAAATTAACAATTATCTACACAGTTTGAAAGTAGGTTATTTAATGAAACCATAAATGGAATGAAACAGTAGGAAAAAAAAAATAGTACAGCGTTTTTTCAAGACATCAGCCAAACTCCAAGAATAATATCCATCATCCCACAGAACTGTAAAGGTAATCACAGATACCTTCATCTCAAATGACACCATACTATGCTGCATCCAGATGTTACAAAACAAATGCTAGGCAGTAAGGGTCATATTTTAGTGAACTGATGATCTAGAAGATCTTTTCCAATCCAGCAATGATTCCATGATTCTAACAGTGTATAAAACTAAGTTTCCTGGCCTTGAAAAGAGACCAAGTGCTGAGGAATACTTTGAACTAAAATACATATCCTTAATTTCAAATATCTTCATTTTCTAAATCCTGAGTAAGGGATGTTTTGCACAATTCAAAGCCAGAAATTCATACATAATTTTGTCTTTTAAATTTCAAGAGTTTCAGATGTTTTACAAAGAACTTCATGTGTACTTAGGCAACATTACAATTAATTACAACTTATTAAAGAAAGTATACGTTAAACAGGATGTACCTGGATCTGCTGCAGTGAAAGGAATGCCATCAGAAGTGTAAAATGTTGGCTCATTCTAAGGATAAAGTTACAGAGAAAATCACATACATTCAAAGAAGCAGTTGTTTCAAGTTTTTAGCGATACAGATGTCTATGAATCAAATTAAATTCATATAAATTAAGGAACTGAAGTACATTCTTACCATAAAATAGTTTGGGTCATTTTCAGGGGTAGCTTCTGTATGCGAAGAAGTTCCAAGAACTCTACCCCAGTTACTTGATCGCAGTTCTACTAGTTTCAGAAGCATATGCTTCACATCTCTGGTAATACCAAACAGGAACACCATAGAAGTTAGAATGTTCTCTTGCTAAGCAAGGAAATTGGCATCTGTTATCCTACGAATGCTAGATGGATACCTCACAGAATAAGCTCCAAAAATAACCAAAAATTTGTTCCAACCTACAGGTAACTTTGAGTCTTTCCCCCATTCCCCGCTCCGCCTCCCCTGGCAAATCTGAATGCTCTGTGTGTCAGTTAAGAGATACTCACTCTCTCCACTTCCTCTGTGTTGATGTAGGGAGTCCATGTTATATAGAAACTGCTATAGTTTTTCTCAATATAACAAATCTGCAGCACAACTAGAGTAACACATCTTCTTGTAAAAGGTTAGTATAGTAGGGAGAACAGAGAGGAGGGTGGGTGATATTCAAACATCCAGTTTATGCTTCTGAATTTAGCTCCCTACTTCAAACTGAAATTCTGTACTCAATGGGGCAAAATTAAGGTCTTCAATATATTATCACCTCTCCTTACTTCCCTAAAATAAAAGAAGTTGCTTTCTTCTTTGAAGAAATTTCACAGAGAAGAGTTCTTACTGAGAGAGGAAAGAAAGTATCTTCAGTTGTTTCCTCTACTTTCTGCAGCTTGTAGTAATTCCTTGCCAAAAAGGTATGTTCAAAAAGGAAAAAAAAAACCCATACAACTGTATTCCATTTTGCACCTTCAATTACAGTGATTTAAATACCATATTTAAGGCTTAAATTCTGGTTTAAAAGTATGAACAAGGAGATATTATCATCATTACACTGATACTTGCTTTTAAAGCCTAAAGCACTTAAGAGAGAGAATAAATGTTGTTAACCACATCTATTCAGATAGAGAATAAAAACAAAAAAAATCCCAAGACTATCAGTTGAAAAATACTACATACTAGATACAAAGTTACCCAAAAGGACCTCAATTTTAGTGAACAAAAGTTTTGTAGTGAAGGCATGTTTTGGACATGTTCAGTACTCCTGAGGATTTTCAAGCTTTTCTGTTTAGTGAAGCAAACAGAACAAGGAACAAATTTATCTTTTCACCTGCTACAGTTTGCATCCAATACAACATTTTCAATTCTCTGAATCACTTCAGTCATATCATCCTTTCCTTTTTCTTTCCAAGCATCTTCTAAAACTGAGCCTGTCAACTAAAGACAAGGGATGAGTACAACTTTTTAAAAGGCAAATTACAGAAAACTTTAAGAAACTGTCAATATAATAAGTTCTGTAACATTCAGATAATAAAGTAGGATTTGATATATGATAGAACATTTTGCTGAAAAAAACAAACAACCCCCCCCCTCCCCCCCAAGAAAACGAAAGTGATAGATCTTCTCAGTATTTTTAAAACAGAAAGCATGCCCCAAACCCTACAATTTATTGAAATTGATTACTGTTTTCTCCCACAACAAAAGTGGCAAAAGACCTGAAGGGATTGCTTACCCTTTTGCTTCAATTCTATTGCTCTTGTATATGGTCCTGCATTTTAATACTTTTGAATAGTATATAGCTTTCTTTTATTTGCTCAAGCTTATAATGGTATTAATGAAAAAAGTGCACTCCATGTTACTGACAATGTAAGCCATAAAAGCCCATACAGATTTCCTCTCATTTTATGTAACTGACAATGTAAAGCATAAAAGCCCGTACACATTTCCTCTATTGCAGTTTTGTTTCCCTCATCACTCTCAAAGCTGAGATACATCTATTATCTCAGAAATAAAATGCTTTAAGCAAACATTTCCTTATCTATCGGGGATTTTAAAAGTAATATTCTTCCACTTATCCAAAACCACTCCATTTTCTCTTCCCAACCTTCAAGCACTTAAAAAAAGGAAGCAAAGACTTCCATAAAACATGCTGCATTCACTCTATGCATTATAGAAGCTCAATCCACTGACTTCATGCAATGCTCATTTCTCTTTTGAGGCATTCAGCTCAAGCATTCACAGGGCATGGAAAAACATCACAGCAAGGATACCCAAAAACTACACTTGCTTAACTCCACTGATGTTTATGCTGAATAGGAAACTAACCTTCTCCTTTCACCCAACCAATTCTGAACTTCTACTTACCCATGATTACAAATCTCTCTATATCACATCACTGGTCTGTAAAACAAATTGTGATATGATACTTCTGCTAGCCTAGATCTCAAATCTGTTACCAAGGAATACATTTGGCCTCTGGCATGAAGAAATAGGTTTTCTCTTGACTTTTCTTTCACTTTCATGTTTTTTTTTTTTCTCCTATCTTTTCCCCTCTCCACTCCAGCCCCCACTCGGATTCAGCAGCAGGAACCATAGATGACCAGATGTCATTCTCTTTGCTTCCCATTATATGTACTGATGTACTCTGTTTTTTACTTACCCCAGATGAAGAAAAATCAAAGCATTCTAATATTTGTATTTCAACTACAGTATGATGCACACACAGTTACATAAAGAAACAGTGCAGATGAATTTTGTCCTCACTTGTGAAATTCCTTTTTTTTTTTCATTTAAAACTACTCTCACCTTCAGCAGCTTCACAGCACATATCAAATTACTGTCCACAGGGTTAGAGAAAAGCGCATTTAGTAATTCTCGAAGGCCTTCTTGAAGAATTTCTGCTCGTGTTACCTGTCCCTTTGTTCCCTTAATCTGCAAGACATTAATAACATACTTAAAAAACTTAAGCTTCAGAAATTAATTTAGTTATATTTTCTCTCCTAAATTCTGCGTGATTAACATAGTTAATTACTTGGTAATTAATTGCAGTTTAACTCTTCAGCTGGAAGAATTCACCAACTAGCGCAACTATTTTAGAACACAGGCTGAAAGATATTCTTACAAATCTAACCTAAGCATAAGAATGCATTTCTAGCTTTCTCTTTTTTGTTACTAAATTGCTGAGAAAAAATGCAAGATGCCTGGCAAATAGTCTGTATCATCCCAAACTCTTGGAGTAGGCCAGTCAGCCTCACCTCTGTCCCTGGAAAGGTGATGGGACAGCTTGTATTGGATGTCATCTCCAGACAACTGGAAGAAGAGGAGGTTATCAGGAGTAGTCAGCATGGGTTCACCAGGGGGAGGTCGTGCTTGACCAACCTGGTAGCCTTCTATGATGTTGTCTCTGGCTGGGTGGATGGGGGGAGAGCAGTGGATGTAGTCTACCTTGATTTCAGCAAGGCATTTGATACTGTCCCCCACAACATCCTTATAGCAAAGCTGAGGAAGTGTGGGATAGGTGAGTGGACAGTGAGATGGGTTGAGAACAGGCTGACTGGCAGAGCACAGAGGGTCGTCATTGGTGGTGCAGAGTCCGGTTGGAGGCCTGTAACTAGCAGTGTTCCTCAGGGGTCTGTGCTGGGTCTGGTCTTGTTCAACATCTTCATCAATGACCTTGATGAGGGGATAGTGGCCACCCTCAGCAAGTTTGCTGATGATACAAAGTTGGGAGGATTGGCTGACATGCCTGAAGGCCGTGCTGCCATTCAGCAAGACCTGGACAGACTGGAGAGCTGGGCAGAAAAAAACCAGATGAGGTTTAACAAAAGCAAGTGTAGAGTCTTGCATCTGGGGAGGAATAATTCCATGCACCAGTACAGGTTGGGGGATGAGCTGCTGGAGGGCAGCTCTGTGGAGAGGAACCTGGGTGTGCTGGTGGATGACAGGTTGGCCATGAGCCAGCAGTGTGCCCTTGTGGCCAAAAAGGCCAATGGCTTACTGGAGTGCATTAAAAAGAGCATGGCCAGCAGGTCGAAGGAGGTGATCCTCCCCCTCTACTCTGCCCTGGTAAGGCCTCATCTGGAGTACTGCATCCAGTTCTGGGCTCCCCAGTACAAAAAAGACAGGGATCTCTTGGAAAGAGTCCAGCGGAGGGCCACAAAGATGGTGAGGGGCCTGGAGCATCTCTCCTATGAGGAAAGGCTGAGTGAACTGGGTCTGTTCAGCCTTGAGAAAAGGAGACTGAGAGGGGACCTGATCCAGGTCTATAAATATCTGAGGTGTGGGGGGCAGAATGGTGAGGCCGGACTCTTTTCAGTGGTGAGTGGAGACAGGACAAGGGGAAACGGCTGGAAACTGCAGCATAGGAAGTTCTGCACAAATGTGCGCAAGAACTTCTTTACAGTGAGGTGACGGAGCACTGGAACAGGCTGCCCAGGGAGGTGGTGGAGTCTCCTTCTCTGGAGATGTTCCAGACCTGCCTGGATGCCGACCTGGTGTAGGGAACCTGGTGTAGGGAACCTGCTTTGGCAGGGGGTTGGACACGATGATCTCTGGAGGTCCCTTCCAACCCCTACAATTCTGTGATTCTGTGACTCTGTGAATCTCAGGTTCTTCCTACAGCTGTAATAACTTACTTCTGTAAGGCATTCTTCATGTATTTTAAAATTGTAGAAAAGTGTTTGAAATTAAGAGGGGTAACTCCACAAAACTGGACAGCTCCTTCTTCCCTCATACTTCCTGTAAAGATTCCTTTTTTACTTCCAGAAACCAAAAAGTACATTTCAAAGCCCACTTATGTACAAAAATGGAAGAGTTGGAGAATTGCTTTCTTTTCTCATGATAGAAGAACATTTTTATCTCATTAGATTATATCTTTGAAATACTCCAGTAAAAAAACCTACAAAACTGTCAAGCATATTACAAAAGTTGGTGACTGCTGAACTCACAGGTATAAGAGTCAAGTAAGGTTATCTTGTACAAAAAAATGGAATGTATGCACTACAGATAGAAAAAACGGGTCTAAAGAAAAGGCTAGGTGTTTCATGTATAAGCCAAGGATTCAAACCTTAAAAAGAAATCCCATTAAAGGTCTCAATTTCTAATTGCTTATTTTGAAATCTCCCATCCCTTCTTCAAGCATTTAGTAGCTCCAGCTAGTGGCCAAATCTGCTTTTGATAGATTTTAACATCTGAGGGTTTTGCAAGAGGAAGGAAAATATCAAAAATCTTCACTACAATTTTTCCAAAAAAAAAGTGGGTATGACCAGGCAAGTTTTAGGAAAGGTAGTCTGTCATTGGTTCTTTTAATGAACTCTTATGCTTTTTTTAAAAAAGGCATCTTTATATGCTTTTTTCTTTTAATGATCCTGTCCATTTTTGCTTGTTTCTTTGTCAGATAAAATGTTCTAAATGTTTTGGCTTATTCACTTCTACATAAAGAAGCAACGAAAGCCAACACAAACCATACCTCAAATGATGCCTTTCATTTCAGTATTTGCTTAGACACAACAAAATTAATGAAGAACCATGTGAAAAATAACTTTCTTCCTACCTCTAGGTTAAGGTAAAGTTCACCTAAGAACAATACAAAGGCATGAAATTGTTTTTGAGTAGCTTCATCTCCTTTTGCAGCTTCATCTCTATTTTCAAACTCTGCTCGACACCTGAAAACATTAAACAAAATCATATAGCTATCGTCTGTAAGCATCCCAACACATACAATATGCTACTGATCTAGTACAGTGCTAAGAACTTGTGAACTGTGTTAAAACTGTTCCATGTTGAATCTTGGAAAGCATGATCTGTGAAGGAAATGAGAGGACTTCACAAAGGCAAAGTGCTTTTTGTCCTCAGTAAATAAATATGATGACATGACTGTGGTTTCAAACACTGAGATATTGAAGACAAAAATACACCTAATACAATATGAATGCAAGTTTAACACAGGTATCTAAATGTTAACAGAAATACAGGAGGTACTGAAATGCTTCTTCCCATTTTAGGTAGAGCTCACATCGCCACGTATGTCTTTACACTTGATAAATTCTTTATGCCACAATTTTAAATGACAGCTACGCATAACTTAGTTATAACTGGCAGTGTAAGCTGAATACATTTAACAGCATTTATAACTAGAGGTAATATGGCAGTGACACAGTATTTTAGTCTTCAACCAGCGTGTCAAGGGTTGTGCTATTTTACACAGCAGTTTGAAACCAGTTCAGAATGAAAGGAAAACAAGACAATCTCAAACATATTCTCAATATCTACACACTGAGATTAAGAAATGGACTGGGAAATGTTTGAGAAATCCAAACAATTTTAGGAGTTGAGATATCACATCTTACGTACAAATTTGGACTGAGAAAATGTATTCATGTAGTTAGCCTTTTTATCCTCACTCCATCCCAATTTCACACATAGTAGATGCAAAAGCATAAGGAACCTCAAATTTGCATTTTTAGGATGCTAATTTTATCACTGGGTTGGTTTTAAAACCAATAATCACTATTGCTAGGGATTTCCTTCATTCATTCAAGAAACAATTCCAACTGTTCAATTAAAAGACAAGATAAAAATGATGATTTGTAGTGTCACTACGAAGGAGAAAAGCTTATTTCCTTTGCAACAAGGACAACAACAGAGTATTTTCAGCTTTTCCATAAGGTACTGTTTCCGATTCCAAAAATTCATTTTGATGATCTTTTAAGCTTACCATGCTTTTGCTTGTAAGTATCCACGTACTAAGTGAAACTTTTAAAGTAAGCCTTATGCTTAAAAAGCCAAAAGTCCTTAAAGAAAAAAGGATTGTTTTTAAACACTCCTGAAGTAAAATGTATTAATCCTTCAAATGTCATACGCTAAGACTTTAAAGGAGACACAGTCATTTAAAAGATGTTGCATCATGCGATCTACGAAGTCTAATCACTGAACTGTAATCCCCCACATTTCTGAAAATTGTGGATCGTTCTGCATTTTATGCATCTATTTGGTGTGATAAAGTGATTTGGCTGATCAATGAACACAGCAAAAGCAACTTAGACGATCAGTGAAAAATCTTTACACAGCAAGTTCAGCCACATAAGTAATTCAAGAAAAAAAAAAACACAAGTCCCAGTAAGAGTCAAAGAACAAGGACAGGACAAAGAAAGTCAGTATACTATGTGAATTTTTAGGATACTTTTGAAGTTGACTAGCTTTCAAATTCACTCTATAATTTGGTACTGAGTTCAGAAGAGACTATAGAGCCTGAACTGAATCCTGTTTTTGTATTAAAACAATAAAATGTGCATATATTCAATATCCAGTATGCACCTCTGCCGTAATAGCTCTCAATTTAAAATCCTTCTGTTTTGAATACATACTTCTTTGGATGCTAACTTAACAGTTACATACAAAAGACGACGACACACAATCCAGCCACAGGAAGTAATAGATGTTAAAAGGACACACTGATGCTCACCTTTTAAGTAACAACTGTCGGAAGTTCCCACTTTGTGGACTAATGGTTAGACAGTGAGATAAATAGTTACATAACCTTGCTCCCATGTAGGAAAAGTTTGGGACAGATGTGGCCTTTCAAAATAAAAGTGAATAAACAATTATTTGTACAGGTAATGATTAGGTTGTGAGGAAATACCTTTAAAATAATTTTAGAAAATGCTGTTTAACAACAGTTGGACCACTGAGAAGTAGAAGATTAATTATTATTTGGCACATTAATTTTCAACACTCTGCTATGCGCATTTCAGAACACAAATATTCACTATAGGTGATTCTGTAGCTTTTTGCCTCGAGTATTCAACTCTACTTTTCCACTGTAACCTATCCCTTAGTGTCTAAAAGTGTCTAAAACTTACTTACAAACTGTTCATAAAAAAAGGTAAAATAAATCCAAAGAGTGCATTAAGACTTCTTCAGGGACATGCACTTTTTCAAAGAGCAAGGACTGATTAAACAAAAATAATCCCACACAGATGCAGTTTCAGAGCTATCTGTTCCAGAATCTACATTTGGCAGTAGAGTATGCTTAGGGAAAGAGTACAACATGACAAGGAATGTTATATACGTAAATGAATTAGGAAGAACAGAGGGAAGTAGATGATTAATCTTTATAGATTGCGAGATACCTGACCCTCAAAAGAAGGGAGAACATCACAGGATTTCTTTGTTTTTTTCCTCCTCCTTCATTTTAGCCTTTTTCTTAAATAGACCTACTATCTACAGATCTTCTCAACTGGATTTAATTTAGTATCACTGAAGCAGATACTTACAAATGCACTTTGGCAATGTAGTAAGAATTTTGTGATAAGCTGGACTAGTATTGAAACATACAATAAAAAACCACTGAGATGAATTTCACTTCCCGCATAAACTTATGTTGCAGATTGTTACACTCCAATTTTCAGCTGACGAAGCAACAGCCAACTACAATACCAGGCCTCTTAAACTAGGAGATGAGGTGACAAAATTAGAGATTTGCATTAAATGTGAGTCAGTTTATTTAATGTATACAAATGTTTGCTATTTAGATGAATTCTGTTTTTCTTTTTTTTCTTTCAGTAAAATTATACTGAATACTTCTGTTGTTTATTCACTGTCCTCCAGGTACTCAAATAAAGGATGAGAAAAAGACACTGCCAAACACAGCACTCATTTGGCAGTTGTATAATAAGAAACTGTATGATAGTAAGAAACTCAAGACTGAGTCCTGTATGAGAACCAACCAGTCATGCAGCCTCTACATAGTCCATAGTATTTCAGATAAAAATTCTGCAAGTATCTGCACTTAGATGAGGAATATAAGAGTTGCTCATGTTCTTCAAGTGTTTGAAAGCAATCAACTCAGCAAGGTGGGAGACATCCAGTGTAATTAATAGCAAGCCCAAGTGTGACTGCATTCTCTGTAGCAATCCCAAATGACAGGAACAACAGTTCATTTGATTGGATTCAACTGATTCAACTGTTCTCTCCAATGGCTTCCCCAATTAGTGCAGAGTTCAGTTTAAGGTCTGTGTCCTCATTTCCATGGCCTGGGAATTATGGGACTGGACCTAGTTACTATTAGATCAACAGTGAAATCAAAGCCTGTGAGTAAAAACATATTTCCTGAAGAGTGATATATACAGAGGTGACTAGTTAGTTAAAATTTCAAGGAATTAAAAGTATCTAAGCATTATGAACAATATTAATTGTCCCCCTCTACTCAGCTCTTGTGAGGCCTCATCTGCAGTACTGCATACAGGCTTGGGGCCCCCCGTACAGGAAAGACGTGGAGCTCTTGGAGCGAGTCCAGAGGAGGGCCACTAAGATGATCAGAGGGATGGAGCAGCTCTCCTGTGAGGAAAGGTTGAGGGAACTGGGCTTGTTTAACTTGGAGAAGGCTCCAGGGAGAACTCATTGTGCATTCCAGTACTTGAAGGGAGCGTATAAACAGAGGGGGAACAACTGTTGACATGGATTGACAGTGATATGAAAAGGGGAATGCTTTTAAACTGGAAATGGGAGATCTAGGTTAGATATTAGAATGAAATTTTTCAGACAGTGATGACACACTGGAACAGGTTGCCCAAGGAGGTTGTGAATGCCCCATCCCTGGAAGCATTCAAGGCCAGGCTGGATGTGGCTCTGGCAGTCTGGTCTGGTGTTGGCAACCCACATTAGCACATAACAGGGGGGCTGAAACTAGATGATCTTTGCGGTCCTTTTCGACCCAGACCATTCTATGATTCTATGAATATATTCTGCAGGAAAGAATCAAAACACTTTACTCATACATGGCTTAAGAGTTACTTTGATACCTGCTATGCAAATACAGCAAAGATGACTCCTTTAATTAAGTGCCGCAACTGCAATTTAGCATGTAACCTGGAAGATTAGGATACACCATAAAGGCAACTGAGAAACTGTAAATTTATCAATGAGTCAAACATCCTACACTTGAGCTATCATTACAGCATATCCAGCAAAATCTTGCACTGCATGTCGCAGGCCAAAGAGAGACTGAAAACCATTAAAATGCTACAGATACAATTACATAACAAATTTATGCATATCTTGGACACTAAGTAACAAAAGGCATCCAATCCATGATATCAAGTAGAATACACAGGCTACCTGCTGATAGATGAGATCAACAAGCTCTTGCAAAGCTTCATCTGTAACGACCCAGCCATTCAGCGTTTCAGCAAACTGTTCTATTTCAGTTTCAAAACAACCTGGTTGCTCAGTGAGATGGTTTAGGAAGCCTTGTACATATTCTGCCAAAGTCAGATAGCCACCATATCCATCTTCAAAGGAAGAATCCTATAGCAATGAAAAAACATAATATTTAATATGAACCTAGAGTTGTTACACTTGCCAACTCCAGAAGCAACCATACAGCCCTTAGTTACCAGTAACTCCTGATGCTGGGCATGAGTGATAGCAGTTCTTACTACCTGGTTCACAAACATTTTTAGAGAGTATAAACCTCAGTACTTCAGAAAGCTTCAGTAGTGCTATGAGAAGAACTAAGTAACATGCTTTTACAGAGACTAGGGTCTCTCAGACAAGCATGCCAACAGACTAAAAAAAGACATAAGGAATAACACAAAACAAAGAACAACCAAATTACACGGTTTGCTATAATGGATGTAAGATCAACAAGCTAAGGAGTCAGTATACCTTCTAAGAATAGAAACTACCTAATTGAGACCTCAAAACCTTTCTTCCTGTGTACACATACTGTGCTGCAGATAAATGAACTGTAGAAGGAAAAGTAACTGGAAATTGGAAACAAAATATTTTGCACTTACAGAGAGTGCCACTGTGCTCCAAAATAAGCAAGAGAGGGAGAAAATGCAGAAATATAATAAATACAGTATAGTATTCCTATGCATAAACTTAGGCCAGGAAAACTGATTTTCTAAAGCTAGTTAAGCTGCATTTTTTTTGGCAACGGATCAAAGATAAATAGTTCTGTTTCATGTCTTCTTAAGTGGTATTGCATTAATTTGCAGTTACTGAGTTAAAAAGCAGACAGTAAACACACCTGCTCCCTAAAGAAAGAAGGAGCAAGCACAATAATACTTAACCAATGTTTATGCTCTCAGTGATGAAACAGAAGACTGCTAATTTTGTTCGCTAAAAAATGAATGCAGCATTTTAATACAGTTACGAATGATTACAGTGCAAGTACATGAGAGGAACAGCATAGGAAGAATGTATTTTGTGATGTAACTCACTAGTAATAACATATACTTTAAAAACTGAACAGATTTAGTTCAGTAACTTCTAGATGTAAGTCACATTTCTTACTGGCAGACTTTAAGGTTTAACAGAGAATACAGCACCACATACTATATCAACTAAATGAAAATAAAGCAAATTCCTCTTGGTTATTTTTAAATAACCAAGAAGGCAAACAGAAGGCTGTACACTTATTTACACATTCATTACAAATTTATGCTTCAAAGCCCTGAAAGTCAAATAGAAGCTTTCCATTAATTTCAGTGATTTCTCAGTCTAATTCCTTCCCTTTATGTTATTATTCACAATGAAAAAGGATGCGCAACTAATCCAAAAATCAGCAGTTTGCCTCTCTTCTATTAGGAGTCAGTTCATAAACTTAAAGAACTAACAATGCACAAGCTAGGCAGACGGCAAATAACCCTCTGATTTACATAACTTTAAAAATCAGGAAGTCGATAGGGAAGATCCATTAGCCAAACCTGCTCTCAGGCTGTTTCAACTAGTAGGCCAAATGCCGTTTTCCCATACGTAACATGTATTCACAACATTTCCATTCAGACAATTACAATTTATCATTGTTTTGATTTCTCTTCAGACTTTTTAGGAATAAGCCTTTTCTCCTTCAGATTATATACATATATCAAGCTTACAACAAAGTTAGTGAAAAATTAAGTATAAGAAATGTTGCATGTACAAGATCGCATATTTGAGTTGTTTGTATGAGGTGAAGGGGCACAGAAGCATCACCTAACTGGAGACAAACAGAATGACTGAATTTTATATAGACACACATAGCTATTACCATAATTTACTAAAACACAAGAAATCAACAGATTATTCTTAAGTTAACACATAATAGCAAAAGCACTGTGTACTTTATAAGAGGAATGTGAATTTTCAGGTCTAGAAACTCCTGGGAACATTACAAAGGTGATTTGTAATTTGAATTGTATTAATTCTAGTTCAAAGAAATCAAAGTTTCTCAAAACTTTGTTTTGATTTCAATTTTAAAACTCGTGAGTAAAACCTGCGCAGAAACAAGGTGCTCTAAACTTACATGTTACTGCAGATTAACTCAGTTTATGAAGTTAATTCAGTACAAAAGATCACTATTCCATGCACAGTATACACTGATTAGGGTTCCTGCAACATATCAAACATATTCAAATAAGCAGTCTAGGTTCTGCTAGGATTTTGAAGTTATTTTTATTAAAAGCTGGATCACTTATAATATATTCCCACAACACAGCAATGAGGAGCTCCCACATGCCTACATGCTTTTGCAGAATAGCTGAAAAGCAACACTGCCGGCCCCAGGAGTTTGCAATTATACACATGCAAATGCATGACAATTTAAATGGCATTTATTTTTGGGTCCTGAAACTGAAATGTAGTATTCACAGAAAATATGCAATGTACTGGGGCAATGTAATACTCTTTCCCTTGTCTCAGCCATTAAGTGAAGAGCGCTGTGTTGGCTTTTTGCTTACAGTTGTATATTGGCCATAAGCTTGTACTATCCAGGGGAGCCACTTTATTCAGTAAGCTGGCAAAGCAGGTAATATCAAGCAACATGATTTTGCTCATAAGAAAAAAAAGAATTGAAAACACCTAACTCCATGCTTAGTATCCAACGTAAGTTTTTTTTTCCTATTAGTTACTCAAAATCTAGTCTCAGTGTAGTTGCTTATTATCACATCACTGTTTTCGTATATTTTTAAAGTTTAAATTAAGCCTTCATCTCTGCTTCAAACACTTGAGAAATCTGCATAAAAGCACAAGCAAGCTTTTACTTAAAAAACACTGTAGACATAAATGCAATGCAGACTCCACAAAGATAGCTTATTCAGATGTTTCTGGAGTCAATGTCTGGTGTAATCAACAAGGAATGTGGTTATCTACTGCAAACTTCAGAAAAACACCCCACACTAACTCATGTACACCACAATACCCACCATCACTATCACTACCTTGACTCCGGAGGTTATCATCTGAATTTCTGGAATTTTTTTAGGCAAATGTAGCCTTGAAGATATCAAGAAGGCATAGAAGTAAATTGCAATAAGCTAAGAACAGAAGATTAACACTTACTGCCAAGTTCTGATTGAAGTTTGGGTTGTATCCTGATGGATAAAACTCAGGTGCTTTAACTGACAACTTTGACATTGCCACAGGAGTCACAGCCACCTGAGGTTTTGCCATTTCTGGTCCAGCAGTAGGAACTGAAACTCGTGATCCAGACGGGATTCTTGTCTGTTGCAGGTGCTCTGGAAAGGTTTCATTAACAGCTTCTCTCAGACATTGCTTGATTGCTGTGTGCTCCCACATAATATGCAACTTTTTCAACCTTGAATATACTTGGAGTACATACTTGCAAGCATACTTAATCTTACTTAGATATTTTTATTGCTTTTCTGAAAAATAGGTTAAGTTTTCAATTTTGGAAACTGATGCCTTTTCACATTACACTCTGATTTCACGTGACAGTGACAAAAAAAGAAAAGCAAATAAAAAGAGGGACGACCCCCTCCCTCGCAAACACATTTTCTGAGCGCTAACAAGAAACCAGTAAATCTACTTCTGGTATGTCTGCTTTCCTAGTGGATTTTTCAAAGCTTCTAAATGAAAAAGAAAGATTTCAAAGATCAATAAACAGCAGACAACACTAATTTTTAGCACATTCCTCAAAGCTATTATGTCCTTCTTATAAATAATTTGCAAAAACAAAACAAAACAAACGCATAAAAATCATATTTTTTAAAACCATATTTTTGCTCATTTCCAGATGTGCAAATTAGAATAGCTCCCAAGTTTATTGAAAAGGAAATCTGATACCTGGACCTTAAAAGTTAACCAATCAACAATGCCTCGGACTGCATTTGCCTTGGGTTTATGTTTTCTCAAACCTGTAGGCCGGAGTTCAGACTTCTTCGATGCAAGGAAGGATGAGACCATCTGCGGTCGGATTAATAGACGGATAACACGCACGCACAGATGTGCGCGCACAAAAGGGGGGCAGGGGGCGTCGTGCAGACTACGATGCAGCATTACGCCTTTCCCCGGGTGCAGGCCCACAACCCAGAAACGCGACAGGGGCCGAGAGGTGCAGGGACAGGCCCCCTCCCGGCCCGGACTCGCCAGGAGCTCGGGCCGCGGAAAGCAGGCCCTCAGCTCAGGCCGCGCCGTTCTGCTGGCCGAGCCGGGCCGAGCAGCGGGGCGGGGGAAGCCCCGGTCTCGGCGGGACGGGGAAGAGGGGCGAGTGCGGCCCGCCAGGGCTTGGCTCCCGGCTCCCGCGGCGCCGAGGTCGGGGGCGGGGGCCCGTCGCGCGGCGCGGCGGCCCGGTACCTGCGCTTCCAGTGCCCAGCGGCGCCGTCCTCGGAGGCCGCAGGGGCTCCTGCTGGGGGAGGAAGCCGCTCGTTTTGTTCTGCTGCTGATCGACCGCGCCGGGGCCGTGCGAACCACCGCCTCCGGGGCAGGCCCCGCCGCTGCTCTCCGACGCGCCGGCGAGAACGCTACCTCCGCGGCCCCGACCTCGACCGGCACCGGGAGCTCGGTCGAAATTCTCGGCCATACTCGGCCCGGGACGCTCAAGCGCTTCGAACGGGGCGGGGATGCGAGCCGGAGCGGCGCGGCGCCGGGTCCCGCCTAGCCGCGGCCCAAGCCCTCCACTTTCAGTTTCACCCCGCCCGCAGCGCCCTCTGCCGGCCGCCAGCAGGCCGCACGTCGCCATAGCGACCCCAGCGCCGCCGCGGCGCCGCCCCGCAGCAAGTAGCAGCGCGCCGAGAATGGCGCCGCCTGGCGGCCGGCCGCCTCGCCCGGCACAGCGCTCTGGCGTGGGGCGGGCAGCCGGCCCAGCGCGAGGCTGACCGCCGCCGGCCGACAAGTGCGGGTTTACTGTCGTAGCGGCTCGCACGGGGCGCTCCAGCAGCGCTCCGGAAATCTCGATTCAGAAATTATCGATTTCTATGACAGCGCAGCGGGAGGCAGTACGATAGCAAACCGCACCTGCAGGCGCCTCATTTGAAGCGTCACGCCACCACCTGCACAGATGGCTGTTTTCCTCGAAAATTGCGGCGTGGGGAAAAGCTGCAGGCTGAACTGGAAGGTAGAATTTAGCCAACAGTTAGGCCTCCAGTGTGACAATAAAACCGTGTTGGTGAATGGTGAATTTCTGTGTATAATTTCTACATCAGATGTGACAACAAACAAGTTTAGTTTTACAGCCTTCAATGCCAGCAAGAACTCACTCTACAAGACAGGCTATGTAATGCATTTTTCTTATATTATCTCACTAACTGCAAATGATTCAATTCACACACCCCTATTTTTGTTCAGAATTCTGCTGTGTTTGCTCTGTGATTTTTGCACTCAGGGAGAGCAGTTGCACTGGGCTGTCCAGCACATGCCGCCGCTGGCAGCCCAGCAGTGTTTGTAGTTTGGTTCCCAGAACAGCCTGACCCTGACCTTCCCACCTGGTGTTTCCAAAGCCCAATCCAAAGGTTCACATGCTGGTTCCAGCTCAGGTGATGATTCATAAAGATGGAAAATATGTGAGCCCGTATGAAAACCTGTAGGAAATCAAAATAGCACTGTCCCGTTTTCAAAATATAATTACTGTGACATCTCAGACGGTATGTCCCTGTTTATTGTTACACCTTACTATTTTGAATGTAGGTTATAGAGTATAAAGCACAGTTAAGATATATTATTTCCCCAAGGTATGTACTGGACTGATTTTTGTCAAGACAAACTTGGCCAGATAGTGAAGGTGACACATTTACAATTAATTGGGTACATGGAAAAGCTGACCCTATGCAACTACTGCTGAAAGTGAAGTCTGACAAAGAAATCAATCTAAACTGAACAACTGAAACCAGAACAAGTATTGGAAGTTTTGATTTTTCAAAGCATTAGACTTCACTTTTGTAAATAACTGACAAAAGCAGACGTGAGCAGAATTGCCAAACTTTTCAAGAAAAAAAAAAAAGCTACTAAAATAACTAAGTTTATTCAGTGCTTTTTTTTTTTTTTTTTTTTTTTTTTTTGTTTTGTTTTGTTTTGTTTTCTTTTTCTGTTTGTTTTTCAGTCCTAGTTTTAAGGTCTGTGTGTGACTTCTGGTCACAGTTGGAAATCTGGGAAGAGAGAAAAGCTTAGATCAATGTGAAAAGAGAAGTCAGACTCTCAATCTTTGGTTTCAGAATGCAGAGGCTTTAAGAAACATAATAGTACAGGCACCACCACTGTTCAATGCACCCATCTTTCAGTAAAGCAAATCTCATGAATTAAGATGTGTATCCATGAGGAATTAAGCTCCTTGGGTTATCATTACTATGCCAGACAACTTTTTACCTTTGGTCACAAACGTGAGTTCTTTACACTTAACAGACATTCCCTTCACTTTACTATAAGGAGTGTTTGACAGCTACTTACACTGCAGAGCAAAATGTAATCTCAGATTCATCTTTCCTTTACAGACACAACCAAAATCTGCGTCAGAGTGAGTGGGAATCCAAGTTTTCATCCCAAAGCAGGAATCTTAAAAAAACCCCCAGAAAACTAAAAAACAAAACTGATAATAATGAAAGCCAAAACTGTAATTTCCGGATACTACCCGTAATCGTCAGCCTCTTTAAGCAGTGCCCACAGTTCCACCTGCGTGTCCCAGGCTGGGCGCACCAACCGCGTTGCAACTCCCTGTCCTGGAGCGCCCAGCCGCGCCGTGGCAGCCTCACACGGAGCTCCGCAGGTCTGCACGGACCTGCTGTTTTTTTGTTTTTCTTTTTTTTTGACGTTATTTCTAATTAGGGAGAAGATGGGGCACTCGCTCTTTGGTTTTAAAGAAGGACTGGCTTCAATAACTGGCATGACAGTGATCCCCAGGAAGTGACACCCGTGAGGTACCTCGCCGCCGCCGCGGTCAGCAGGGCCCAAGACACAGAGGGCGCAGCAGCACGTAAGATGAGCTCTAAAAGGATTTTTTTCACAGAAACGTGTTTATAAACAGCCGGCCCAACGGCCACCCCGGGGCCACCGCCACGTCCTGCAGGCTTCTCCTCAGCGCCGGGCGGGGCGGGGCGGGGCGGGGCGGGGCGCGGCGCGGCGCGCGCGCCCTTGAACGCCTCACCGCCGCCCCGCGCCCGACTTCAGCGCGGTCACGTGACACACGCCCCGTCCGCGCGCGAGGCCGGGTCCACCGCGTGACTGGCTCCCGCGTTCCCCTCGCTCCTTCCGGGTCGTCCCCCCGACCCCCGCTCCGCCTTCTCCGGGCCCGCTGCGCCGCCTCACCCCAAGGTCGGTCAGTGCCGCGGCGGGGCCGGCGCCGGCGGCACGGCCGGTGGGTGCGGAGCGGAGGAGCTGAGGCCGGGAACGGCGCCGCGAGACCTCCGCTTCGTTCCCGCGAGGAGCGTGGGCGGTGTGGGAGGAGGCGGTGCGCTCCCGTAGTCGAGGAAGGGCAGCGGGAGCGGGAGGAGATCGGGAGGAAGGCCGTGACTGGCGGGCTGGGGGCGCGCCCTGCGCGGGAGCCGGGACTGCGGCGCGGAGCGAGCGGCTGGGCCGAGGTCAGCCGGGGGCCGCCGGGTATAAAATGTCGGCGGGAGGTGCCACTGAGGCGGCGGGACGCTGACTTGGCTGATTCGCTGCCTTTGCAAGGGCGCGCGGTGGGTCTGGGAGCGAAGCGCTGTTCACGGCCCTGTCCGGGTCGGGCGCGGCTCCTGCGCGGGGGGCTGCGGCCCTTCGGGGGCTCGGGCGGCGGCCCGGCTCGGTCTGGGTCCCGGGGGCGGTCGGAGCTCCTTGTTTAGAGCGATGGTCTGAAGAGAATGCGGTCCTAAGCCGCGGCATGCCAACGTGTGGGTCAGCTTGCAAGGTCAGTTCTGTCGTGTCCTTGTTTAGCTCGATAGTTTTACTCGCTTCCTCCTCCCCAGCTTTACTCTGTTACCTCACTTCGAAAAAGTTGATTTTGTGTTCCAGCTGGCAAGAAAAGGTAGAGAAAAATGACTGCTTTATGGCGGGCGGCAGTCCTTCGGACTTCAGCTGCTGAGTTTACATACCTTCTGCCTCCTGTCATTATTAACTGTCGCTTTGTTTCCCCGTGCGCAGCAGGGATTCCATACGTGGCAAGGAGTCGGCTGGGAGGTCGGGGCGACATGGCGAGCCTTCTGCGCGTTGCTGTCACTGGGTGCTCAGTGCCTGCTCTTGGTGCTGTGCTTCCACCCAAGGTACACTCCACAAAGATGCCGTGTTTGCGAATGTTTGGAACCCACCAGGCACTCTGGTCCCAGGCAGCCCTGAAGCCAGGTAAATGGCTGTTGCAAATAATCCCTTGTCTTAAAATTCATTTAGATATGTTAGCGCAGAAAAACCTTAATAAGGACACACTTAAGCCATGCTAGTGGCTGGCAGTTCAATTTTATGCTAGTTTACAAGGCTTTATATCCAAGGTATTTGTCTTTATTTTGAGTGCAGTGGATTCAAATACTCGTCAGAGGTAGGTGGTCAGAACTTCTGCTGACACAATGTTTCTCTCAAGCACAATTAAATGAATGTATTTCTTTATTACCAGCCTGAGTTCCTCATGAGTTTTGGTAGTGTGGCTCTTTGTGTGAATGTAGGGGGAAATACATCCCTCACAAAGGGAGCATCTGAAAGCATAGCTGCATGTACATATAAAGTCTTAAGAAAAATCATGACTTGTTTTTTCCATGAAACTGCTTTATGTTGCAGCACTCTGAGGAATTTCTGGACTGCATCTTTATGGTTAGGGTTTGTTGGTATGTTTAAATAGATTAAATAAATTCAACTTAGTGTTGGTAATGGACAAGTTCAGATGTTCTCAGAAAAAGAAAAGAAGGAGGGTAGGATTGGGGAGTCCTTGGTTCTAGTTTTTGAAGTGAGCGTGGTGTATGAAAATCTATTTCTTCTTTTTTTTTCTTCTCTGTCCTATCCTATATGTAGTCTGATAAGCAGAAGACTGGAGGTTATGTAAGACAGCTTTAATGGTATTTTTGACCATTATCTTGTACAGGTCATGTATCCCTGAAAGACAGTGGGGACCTTTCTTCAGTGCTAGTCCAGGGTCCTCAGTCTGAAGCAGATAAGGTGGAGAGCTAGGCTGATTGTGCATGCAGTGCACCATAGGTGCTGCATTATCAGGTCTTTTGGAGGCACAGAAAAGTAGAGGTGTTTTCTGTTTTGACAGCGAAGGGTGTAAGAACCATACCATAGATCTCATGCCATAGAACTCAGGTATCTGCCAATTCTGACAGTGGGTGTTGTGTTTGGAGTCCTTTCAAATAAGTGACATGGCGTTTGGGGCTTCTGAAAAAAATGTGTTGAGAGAAGATTGTTTGTTTATTCTGTCAGCTCCTGATAGTCAGTATTGCATACCTTTTTATTAAAGTTGTGTGGTAATTTTTTTTTCCATCTGACTGACAGTGTAGCAATCTGGAATCTATCAAAACTGATCAGAACATAGGATTATATCCCATTAATGTGTAATGCTTCTCCCACACCCCTCTTCTTCCAATTCAGTATTTAAATGTGAGAGGTGTCTGTCCATCTTATCATTGTAAATTGTCTCTTGGTTGAGCATATTAACCTGGGATGTAGGGAATGAAGTTCAGAGTTCTTTCTCAAACGTCCCAGGAAGGAGCTCTTGTTTTGGGATGGCTTTAACAACAAAT